CCCAGCCCGCCCCTTTTGTCCCGGGCATCCTCACCTCTGAGCCTGGTCTGCTGCTGGGGGCTTCCAGGGCTCTGAAGCTGTACATTTGGACAGCTTTGCCCAGTGTCAGCCTTGTTTCCTGTGGCAAGAGGTCCATCCCCTCTGGTTTGGCTGCAGCTGAGCTTGGAGTCTGCAGTTCTAGGTTCTTATGTCAGGTTCATGTGTTTGCTGCTCTGGCATGTGTGTCTGTGAACGTTGTGAGGTGGCAGATTGAGTTGGGGTTTTTTAATATGAAAAACCAATTTTAAGTTTTTCCTTACGAAATGCACAGTCCCTCTTTTTCCGACTTGTTTGTAACACTTCCTATTAAATGGGGCTCTTCCTTAGGCTCTTCGTTCCATTGTTAAACTTACCCCATTCTCTTAGTTTTAAGTTCATTTTATGGATTTGCCATTAACGACTTCCCATCATTGGAAATTCAGGCTATTTCCAAGTCTTTAGTATTTGGTTAACATTTTTAACATTGGTAAATCTTTGCATACTTCCATTATTATTTTTTTACATTAACTTTTTGAAGTGCTTGCTAGGTTTAAGGAGTATACCAAATTTTAAGGTTTCTAATATCACTGAAGATTCCTGCAGAAAGTTTCATTGGTGGTGTCTGTGAGTGTTTGCCCCTGTGTGTGTGAGTACGAGTGTGTGAGTATTAAAAGCGGTATTGGATTGTGTTCGCCTGGGTTTAGGCCTCCCCATCTGAACAAGTGGTGTTGCTCCTCGGTTGAGTGGGACTTTTTAACCAGTCTCCACTGCTGTCCACTTGGGGCCCGGACTTGCAGCTGCTGGTGCCATTTGGCCATTGGCAGTTCCCTGGGTGCCTGAGGACAGCCAGGTGTGAGGAGAAACCACCCTGAGGTCACCTCTGTCTACCGGACAAACACCGTCTGTTCCCTCTTCCTCTGTCACCACTGATTCCTGCCTCCAAAGACACCATGCCCAGTATTGGCTCCGTGTCCATGCCATGGGTTGATGCCAGTCCTGGTTGCTCTTACAGGGTTAAAGCAGTTTCCTCTTGAAGTAATGGCACGTAGGGTAGATATGTGGTTGGTTTTCTCATGTCTTTATTTGGCAAAGTAAAGGTTGCAGTCCTCACATTTCCTCCCCCCTCTCGGTTTTAGTTTTAATTTCTCTGGCTCACTGATCTCTAAAGTCAAAGCACCACTGTTGTAAATGGGTTGTGCTGGTTGATTTGGGAGGACCCAGCATATGGGCACACAAATATCTGCAATCATGATCGGTTGCCACCTGGGGCTTTGTGTCTGGTGGAGGCGATGGATGCTCTCACCACAAGGCCATCTGCCAGCCACATTATTACTCTCGCCCAATAAGCAGGGAGCTGCGTGAGGCACCACATCCTCGGAGTGGCCACGTCCACCCTGAGAGCAAGAACGAGACAGAGTGCGAGTGTGCACGAGTGTATGGGTATGTGGACACATGAGCACATTTGTGTGTGTGCACTGCAGTGTGTGTATATGTGCATGTGTGTGTCTATCTCCCTGTCTCTCCCTCCCTTGAGGGCAATGCCCAGGCAGGTGGACTTGGTTCTCCGGGGTTCACATGCCTCTGGTGAGCCATGTCTGAGCCCCAGCCCCTGCGGCCTCCCTGCAGGTTCTCCCATGGTCAGGTGGTCTCTGTGGATGAGCTGCGCCCCTTCCAGGACCCGGACCTGAGCTCTCTGCAGGCCGGCTCTGCGTGTCTGGCCAAGCAGCCGGATGGTCTCTGGTACCCGGCTCGGATCACTGGTGAGGCTGCCCCTGGGCCTCCCTCAGGCCCTCCTGGAAGGCCCCTTCATTCCTCACACGTGTTTTGACCACTCCTTTGGTTGGGCATCAGGTCCCTGCTCCATGCCTAAGGGGAGCAAGACTGCCCCTGACCTTGGCCCACCTTGCTCCCAATTTCCAGTGAGTCTCTAACCAGCTATGAGGCTGCTGACCTAGCCTGTCTTTGTCTCTGCCTCCAGATGTGGACAGCGGTTACTACACAGTTAAGTTTGACTCACTGCTGCTGAAGGAGGCTGTGTTGGAGGGGGACAGCATCCTGCCCCCAATGCGCCCAGAGCCTGCAGTGTCCTCTGACTCAGACAGTGGTGACATGGACGACTCCAGCTATGCCAGAGGTATATGGGGCAAGGGGCAGCCTGGGCAGCAGTCTCCCTGGGAGGCTCCTTGCTAGTGGGGACCTCAACTATCTAAACAGGCAGTTGAAGAGCTTGACGGTGGTGAGGTGAGCTGTGCCTAGTGTGTGACACACAGTGGGGGGCACAAGTTGGGCCTGGAGAGGCATGCAGGGCCCCACAGGAGGTAGAGGGATGAGAGTGTGTGAAGGGTCTGGGCAGGTCTGCAGACCACAGATGCAAAGACCCATCCCTTGCCATCAAAGAGTACTGTGCAAGCCTGTCCTCCCTGGTGCAAACCTCATGGTGGGCCACGGTATGGCACACTGCTGATTCAGGAGCTGCCAGGGAAGTGGGCACACACGGAGGCCCGGTGGGGCTGGAGAGCAGGAAAGAGCAGCTCCTTCAGGGGCTTCCATGCAGGGCTTGGGGACTGGCGGGTGGAGGGCGATTGTGTGCAGCCAGACATGGGCTGGAGAGCTTCAGGAGTGGGGACTGGCTGGTAGTATCCAGCCCTCCTGGGGGGGGAGGGGGGAGGATGAAGACGGCAGGCGTCCCTTTGAGGCTGGTCCCTGTGCTGATGGTTTGAGTCCCACATCCTTGGTTCCATGGTCATGGAGGGAGGACTGAGTTCTTAGGCTAATGGTGGCCAAAGCTCAGGTGCTCCATGTGCAGCTGGGCCAAGTCACTGCCCTGTTTCTTGCAGTGGTGGAACCCAGTGCCGCTGACCAAGGGACCTGCAGCTCTGCCTTCGCTGGCTGGGAGGTGCACACGCGGGGCATAGGCTCCAGGCTCCTCGCCAAGATGGGCTATGAGTTTGGCAAGGGTGAGTGAGTGGGTGCTGCCCCGGGGAAGGGGCAGGGCTGCCGCAGCATGAGGGGGCAGGGAAAGGGTCCAGCAGCAGCACCACCTCTCTGCCCCCCAGGTCTGGGCCGACACTCCGACGGACGGGTAGAGCCCATCCACGCTGTGGTGCTGCCTCGAGGGAAGTCACTGGACCAGTGTGCAGAGATCCTGCAGAAGAGGACCAAAGGCTGTAAGGCTGGCACCAGTAGGCCCCTGAAACGCAGGGGCGGAGGGAGTGGGCCTAGGGGCCGCCTGCCTTCTCGGAGTGTGTTTGACTTTCTGAACGAGAAGCTGCAAGGCCAGGCTCCTGGGGCCCTGGAGGCAGGGGCGCCCCTCCCTGGGAGGAGTGGCAAGGAGCTGTACCACGCTAGCAAGAGCACCAAACGGGCCCTGAGCCTGAGGCTCTTCCAAACCGAGGAGAAGATTGAGCAGGCCCAGCGGGACATCCGGAGCATCCAGGAGGCCCTCGCCCGCAACACTGGCCGGTACGTGTGGAGCTGAACTTGGGGCAGAGGGTGGGCCCTGGGCTGGCCACGCTTCTGGTCCTGTTCTGGATGCCCAGCTTACAGTTCACCGAGGGTGGTAAGCTGCATCTGACGAGAGTCTGGATGGTTGGAGGGTGCCGGGCAGTGGTCATAGCAGCCTGGGGGCTTTGTGGCAGTGGGCCGGAAGCCCACTCTGAGTGGCGGCCTCTCTCTAGGCACAGTGTGACAGTGGCACAGCTGCAGGAGAAGCTGGCAGGAGCCCAGCGGCAGCTGGGACAGCTCCGGGCCCAGGAGGCAGGCCTGCAGCGGGAGCAGAGGAAGGCAGACACCCACAAGAAGATGACTGAGTTCTAGAGCCCCCTGCACGCGCCATGGACGGGGATCAGGGGCTCTGGCTTCTGGCTGCCCTCAGGAAGACCTGCTGTCATCCAACAACTAGATGCCACCAGAAGAGGGGCCAGCCTGCTTCCAGGCTAGACCCTACAGTCAGCCTTGTTGCCATCCTGGGTGTGTGGACACTGCTGAGTGGAGAGGGGGTACAGGAATCACATCTTGATACTCAAGCCCACGGAGCCCACTTGCCAGTGTCTACGTTTCAAGAACATTAAAGTGATTTTGTTGTATTTTTTAGTGGCACCTCAGCTGGCTGTGTGTGGGGAGAGGGGTCTCTGCGTGGGGCTGGGCAGGAGTCCCAAGTGAGCCCGGAGGTAGAGGGCTCAGGGGGACTGTCATTTTCCCTGGTCTCCCAAATGGATCCCCATGTTGCCTGATACCCACAAATGGTGGAGCATGGTAGGAGGAAACTGGCTATCTTGGGCCTCATGGCACTGCTAATGGGACAGGAGGTCCTGGTGGGGTGGGTTTGGGAGCCCAAGAGCCTGGATTCACCCCCTAGTGCTTGGTTGCCACGAGACTGCCCAGACCCCATGGTGTGCCTCTCTCCTCCCAGTGTGTGCCCACCTCGTGGATGGAGACCACGAGAAGCAGGCTCAAACCGCACCCACCCACTGTATGTCATCTAGACCCCAGGCAGGGGTGCAGTAGATGGGTGAGGCTGTGGTGGTGACAGCTGCTGTAGGGGGTTGAGACGCAGTCTGACACAGGAAGTGAGGGGAGCTCCACCGAGGGCTGTACAAAGGTCCCACTGCTCCCAGTGCCCAAGCTGCCTGGCCTGTCCGACGGCTGAGGAGGTGCCCCTGCACCCATGGCCTTGGTAAGTGCCTGCTCTGAACTCCAGCCTGGCCAGCTCTCCAGGCCCCCTGTTGCGTGCCCTCCTGAGGGCAGTTGAAGGCTGGGGTCTGGGAGGACTAGACCCTACCAGGATAGGGCATTGGGACTTCTTGTGTGGGAAGCCCACTCCCTGGGTCTGAGCAGACTGGACCCCAACCCCCATCTCTGTGCTTCTGGACTAAAAGACTGCTGATTGTAGGGTGCACCCCCATCCCCTGCAGCCCTGCTAAGACCCAAGGAAGGAGACAGGTCCAACGGCTGGGATGGAGGGAAGAGGTGGGGGGGGTAGTCAGTGCCCAAAGCAGCCCCTTTCTGCTTGCTGACCCCCACCTTTCCAGCCCCTCAGGGATACAAGCTCTGTAGTGGATGACTAGGTGACTAGGGGCATCACCTCAGGACAGGCCTTACCTGGGCACAGCATGGCTGCTGGTGTCTGTGGCCTGTGGCTCAAAGGCCCAGGGGTGTGACCTCAAGGGCCTCCCCAGGTCTCAGGTTTGGGCTGCAGTGACCACAGTGGGTCTTTGGCCAGGTCCTCACTGGCCATGTTCTGCAGTCATGTAGGTCATCTTCACTGACTTGGGTACTCATGAGGGTCAGGAAGAGCACACATCCTCACACCTGACCAGGAGCCCCCAGCCAGAGACGGAAAAGGAAGGTGGGCGCTGAGGCTGCGTCCTCTTGGCCTCTGTAGGAGGGAGGGACTGCCGAGTCTTGGGGTTTCCTGTGTGCTGAGTCAGAGCTCCCAAGGGCGGGAGACCGCCCAGCACTGTGACGTGCAGAAGTGGAGCTGCAGGTGGGTGCCCAGTCCTTCAGTCAGCCCCCAGCTCCCATCTTCTGCCTTCAGGATAGTCCGGGGCTACATAGGATGGGGCCACTGGTGCCCTCAGCCCCTCCTGTCTTCTGGGTCCTAGGGTGCCTCGCCTTGCTCTTCTGGCTGTGGGTGCTGTGCACAGCCTGCCACAGGTATGTTCCTTCCTTGCCCAGGTTTCATGAGCCTGGCTCAGCGCTGTGGCCAGAGGGGGTGGGGCTCTAGGCAGGTCCTCCCTCACCAGAGGCTGCCGCCCTGCCCATCTCTGTTTCCCTGGCCTGACGACCCTCTTACCCGCAGGAAGCAGGCGCGGAAGCAGCAGGCCAGGCTGCAGGGTAGCATGATGCCAGCGGAAGCGGTGAGTGCCAGGCTGTCCCTGGGGCCAGGGCGGGGCCAGCAGGGGACCAACCTGCCTTCTTTGCCCCCAGTCATTGCTGAGACGACCCCACCTGTGCATCCTCAGCAAGTCGGACACCAGACTGCACGAGCTGCACCGAGGCCCCCTCTGCGGCACAAGTGAGCCTAGCTGGGAGCAGCCGGGTTGTGGGCGGGGCTTGCTGCACCACCACCACCCCCAACCTGCTGGGGTGGCACTTGCTCCACCTCTCCATCCCAACTGACCTCTGCCCTGATCCCACCCCCAGCCCCTCGGCCTGCTAGCATGGATCTCCTGCGCCCACAATGTCTGGAGGTGTACAGAGGCATCACCAGGCCCCCATCCGCCTTCTCACACCGGGAACTGCCCCAGACCTCGCCTGCTACCAATGCTACCCAGCCCTCCATGGGCCCCGAGGCCACCTATTCCAATGTGGGGCTGGCTGCCATTCCCAGGGCCAGCCTGGCAGCCAGCCGTGTGGTGTTGGCAGGGGCACGGCTGACCAGCAGCTGTGCCAGACCTGGGCCTGAGGCCAGACCGGTGGTGGCTGAGTATGCCTGCATCCAGAAGCTCAAGGGAGCAGATTGGGGCCCCCAAGGCCTGGAGCAAGGGAAGGCCCAGGAGACCCCAGACACTCAGGTAAAGTAGGGTGGGGTGCAGTGGGTGGAGCTGGGCAGGTCCTTGGCAGAGTAGATGATGCTGACCCCTCCCGGGGTTGGCTTCCTCTCTCCAGGTGGATATCCTGTACTCCAGGATCAGCAGACCTAAAAGGAGGGACCCAGGATCTCCTGCAGTAGACCAGCCAGACCCCAAGGACAGGGCAGCAATTCTGACTCTGGGGAGGAACCTGGACTATGAGGCCCTCCCACTCAGGGGCCTGAACACCCACAGAGGCCTCCTAGAAAATGTGTATGAGAGCATCCAGGAGATGGGGGCCCCTGAGTACCAGCAGCCCCCCATCTATAGCTAACAGATTGGACATGAAGGCCTCCTGCTACCTCCCCCCACCTGCCTCAGCCTACCCCTCCCTGCACTGAGCACCCAAGTACAGATGTTTTTTTCTTCCAGCGTGGGACCTGACCTCCTCTTCCCTGACAGTCCCCCACACACAGCTGGCAACCTGAGAGGTGCCTGGGTCCTGGCTGCCCTGGCTTCTGCCAGCGTCTTAATAAATCCCCAGCAAGGGGAGGACGAGCACAGCATGCCTCAGAACTTTTCTTCTTCAAAGCCTGGGGGTGGGGTGGTGGTGGTGGTGGTGGGGTGTCTGGAAGGAGTAAAAACATCCCCTGACCTCGGGGACAGGCTCCCTCCCTCCTGGGGTGCGTGGGCCCTGTCACCCAAGCTCACAAGACATTGTGGGGAAAGAGGCCAGATTAGGGGTGGTGTCCCCAGGCCAGGTTGATTTTAGAGGGGCTACAGAGTCGTCGGACTGGGACACCGAGGGAGGGCTCGGGCCACCCAGCCCGGGGGTTACATAAGGGGTGCGGGAGGTGGGCAGTAGTGCGTTAAAGAATAACCTGTTCCGGGGAACCTCGCCAAGGAGACGTGGCCCCTTTCCTGATCTGGCAGCTCTGCGCGCGGGCACCCCACAAGGAAGCCGGCCGTCCTCGCCGCGGGGCGCGGGGGCCGGGGCTCCACGGAAGCCCAG